GCCGTATTAAAATGACTTCACTACTGATGATGATGATGGTTAAAATAATAACAACAAAACAATAATAATAATAACCGATATTTATATTCGGTAACGTAATTATTATTAATCCCGCCAATTTCATCTCTCCAGTTCCATGTCGGCCCTCTATTGGCCGTGTACCCCGTGTCAGTTATCTTGATCCCAAAGGTCACGGAGGGTTTTTCTGGTGAAGGGTCGAAACAGGAAAAGGGACTCTGATTTTTTGGAAATTTGACGTAGTTGTTGTCTACATTATTATAGTTGTTATCGTCGTGTTTTATTTTTCAACAAGAACATTCATTTATTTAGTTGTTGCTTTTTGGTTATCAGTTCGTTTGCTCATTCATCCAGTCATTCAATTATTTATTTATCAATTCATTCACTCATTCATTCATCTATTCATTCAAAAATTGAATGAATGTACGAATATTTTTATTTATATGACCCTTGCTTCTATAGGCCGGCTGCTGTTTGTGTAACCCGATCTGTGATTGGTCCCGCAAGACATTCGTATATTCGGCTCCGTACCCTTTTGTGATTTTAATTTTTCATTTTATCGAAAAATAAATGTTTAAATTTCATCCTAATTTCATCCTTCATTCGTTCAGTATTCTTTCATTCGTTCATTCACATTCAGGTTAACGCAATTTGATTGGACGAACATCGATGACGTCACAGGGCAAATATTCACTCTTCATCGTTGATACGCCCGTCGGCCGCTGCGTCATCTTGCCCTTATAAAAATGACGTCATCAAAGATGATGATGATGACGATTGAAGTAATTACGGTGGCACAGTGGTGACGGTGACGATGAAAATGATGATGACCAAACTAATGATGAAGATGACGATTAGATCTAGATCAAGTAGAAAAATAACAGAAAGATTGAAAAAAAAATGCTTTCCTAAAACAATTTCATCTAAAAAAAATATGAAAAAACCGCGAAAACAATTTCAAACAGGTAAAATATTATCGTAAGCCTCGTCCGGTTTAAACGTTATGGGGTCCATGTTTTGGTTGTTAGTGAAACCGCTGCCGAATTTTTTCGAATTTAGGACATTGTGGGGAGCAACTTCTAATTGGCTACCCTGAAACCTTTCTTTCGTTTCTGATTGGCTAAGATCAGGGCCCTGGCGAGTAAATTGTAAAATTGCTCTGTATTTTTAGTTTTACCTTTTTTACTTATTTTAACTTTATTCTCGATGAATTGTTTTAAACATGTAAATTTTTTGATTTAATAACATGGATTTCGATTAATTTTTGAGTTTAGCTCGATACACATACATATCCTTTGTTGAGTTGCTGCAAAGGGTCCTTTTTCAGCACCTTATCGAGGTACGTTTGCTTTCTGTCTGGCATGATGTGTTGTAAGTGGGGCTCGCTGTTTATGCATGTTGTCAGACGAGTTTTCATTACCTTTCATGTGATTGGTTGGTTGGTTGATTGAGTGATTGGTTGGCCGATAGATTGGTTGACTGGGTTGGTTGAGTGATAAGTGGAAAAATTAACTGACTGAGAAAATAGATGAATTGATATTTGATTGGTTGGATAATAAATTGACAGCTTTATTGGTTGACTAAAGGATTAGTTAATAGGTTGAATGATTGATTGACTTGATTGAGTGATTGATTGCTCAGCTGATTTATTTATTTATTGACTAACTAGGCTGGTTGATTGCTTGATTGGTTAATCGTAGATTTATTTGATTGGTTGGTTCAATCAGGTAACCCGTTAATTTATTCTCATAACCATTCCATTCGACCATTTACACATTTTTCTAATACCTATGGTAACAACAACAAAATATGATGTAACAAGCTGGTAGAAATCAACTACTTGTTGCATTTTGGGGTTGTGAATCGCTGATTGGTTGGAAAATCCACTGTGGGTAGTGACTTTGTTATGATTGGTCTGCAAAGTTGAAGAGGGAGGAGTCTGGAAATCTACCATTGATATGGACTTGTAATTATCCCTCAAAGATTTGCTTTATACAAAAAATAGACGGATGGTTGGATTAGTAAATAAATAAATAATAAAACTTTGATAACAAAAAAACTAGAAAAAAACTATTTGGCAACAACCGTAGCATCAATTATTATTAACACTAATAAAATAACTCATTCAATTATTTTAGTAACTGAATGCCAATCATATTCGACATTCAATAATAAAGTTACATAAAAAATTATGAAAACCCCAAAACTCCCAAGATCTCAGCTCTTACCCGAATTTCGGGTTATCCAGCAGATCCAACTCAGGCGTGTACCTAACGAATACGCGCCTATTCGAGGTGTATCCGGATTGGATATTCTTGACATCGTAAAGTTTACAATAGGATCCGGCCAAGAATTTTTTGTGGTAGTTTAGCTGGTTGGTGGTGGCGTAAAATTTCATGACGTCATCGTCCGCTCCCCGACTAAGTAAGACGTGCTTGCTAGTTTCTCCATAAGGTACTGAGTAATTGTTATATGTGCTCATTTTTTTTAATTATATAAATAAATAATTATTCAAAAAAGGTTAAAGGTTAAAGCCTAAAGGTCTATTATTACACTCTTCCTATTACAACGTATAAATAACGGAGAAAACAAGAGAACTGACAATCAAACGCCCTCTTGTATGACATACACACACACTTATAATACATTCTCTCTCTTTCTCTCTCTCTCTCCATTCTCTCTTGATTTTTCTTCCTATATCTATCTATATATAATATTTATGTATATGTACAACCATTCATTAACAGAAACGCCGTCTCCATGGCTACAGATCTGGTCAAACTACAAGCCAATCAAATTTTTTAGAAAATTTCGAATGAAATGAAGTAAAAATATGTTAATTTTTTTGTTGTTTATTATGAAACGATTATAGACGTAAGTGATGTTTGTTTATAAATACAATGTAAAAATCATTTAATGAAAAACAATCAATCAACCAACCGATCAATCAATCAAGCATTCACTCGTCTTTCAAGTAATCCACAATTTATTTGATCAATCGTTCATTCACTTACTCAATCAATCAATCAACCATTCAATCAACCAACCAACCAACCAGTCAACCAACCAGTCAATCAATCAGTCAATCAATCAATCAATTAATCAATCAAGATGTAGACTGTGTCTCAGAAGCCTACATTGAAAACATCTTCCAAATATCAAACTATTTTGAAGGGAGATGCTAACGATATAAGCTCTGATTAACAGATGGGTAACAAGAAGGTTCCAAAAAGTTCCTTTCAAAACTTTTAAAATGTACCTTTTATACCTTCAAATACAAAACTTTATATCAGCCAATATTACGATTAGTCCAGACGAAAACCGTTACATCAATAATTGTCTCAGCAACCTTTGTATAAAAATACTTGCATCAACATCTTTTGTATCAACAACAACGATTGCATCAAAAAGTTTTGTATCAATGACAACAATATTAGCAACAATTGTAAAAACAAAAATGTATCAACCTTCAATGTATCAAGATATCATTGTATCAATATAGGCATTATTGACGATTAATTAATTGTAACAGTAACAAATGTATCAGCAACAAATTTTGCATCAGCAACAATTGTATCAGCAACAAATTATATCTAAAACATTTTTGTATTCACAATAAAACAATTATAATTGACATTTTTATTGCAAAAACACCGTGCATAAAGTATGAAAAAATGGACTAAACTAGAGACAGATAGGCCAGACGTTAAAATAAAAACTACATAACTAATTGTATGTATGTATGTTTGTATGTGTTTGCGTATGTAAGTCTGTACGTGTGTGTTGTGTATGTGTGTTTGTGTGTGTTTGTTTTTGTGATGTGTGTGTGTGTGTGGTGTGTGTATAGTGTGTGTGTGTACTTGTGGATGTAGTTGTTCTCATTTGATCAATTTTGAGCAGTGTGTATGACGGATTCGTAAATAAGACGACGACGATGACGAAATGTGAACTCATCACCATCTAAACAACTTCATCATCGTCGTCGTCGTCACATCTTCCACGGAATGATCTTTGAAACCGAATGCAACAGCAGCAAAGTTATGCGGACACACCCAGCCAAATATGAACACACACACACACACCACACACACACACACATACATATGTACACACTTACATACACATATACAGAAGCAGACATACACACAAATACAGAAGCAAACATACACACATATATACACGCAAATATGCACACATACAGACGTATATTTAAAAAATATATACATAATCAAACAAACAAACCTAAACACAAAGATACATACAAAAATACATACAAACATACATACATATACACAATGTTTCTGAACCCTCTACAATATGATACAACATAATGATAAGAAGACAGACAGTATGGTTGTAAGGGAGTTTTCATTGAGGAACTCATCTACCAAAACCAAATGGAAAATAAGTTGTCAAAGTTTTGCAAAAAATTCGAAAATTAAATGAACCAGTGTCCTCAAGAAAGGAAAATAGGAAACTAGAAAAATCAGAGTGGAAAAAATTAAATGTTAAATTTACTTGCTCCAAATTACAACACTTAAATGAAAAATGCAAATTTACACATGTCGTAATCACACACATCCACACTTGCTCACTCACACACACACACGCACATCCACACACACACACGCACACGCACATCCACACACACACACACGCACATCCACACACGCACACACACGCACATTCATACTACGTAATTGATACAAGTTTCACTTTGTAATTATAAAACCTTATCTATGAGAAGTATCCACCGCTCTTATGAGTTCCATAAAAATGGAACAGAAAGGAGACGACCTGAGTATAAAACGAAACGAAACGAGAAAAACAAATAACGATACGAGACGAAATAACGGCAGCAACATCAGAAAAAGGTAACAAAAAAAAATAAAACAAGCGCTAAAAAATGTAGAACAATCATTTGCAGAAAATCAGGGCGAATGAAACAAAGATATGCGAAGAAACATTGACAGAGGGTGAAAGAGAAAGAGAGAGACAAAGAGATTTTTGTTTTTTCATTTCTCACTTCTACACTCATTTTATTCTTCCTTCTCTCTCTCTCTCTCTCGCTCTCTCTCTCTCGGTTTCTTAAATTTCTCTACATTTTTCTGTTTATTTTTCTCATTTATTTCTTTGTTTCTCTATCTCTCGCCTTTTTGTCTTTTTACATTCTCTCTCTCTCTCTCTATCTCTCTCTCTCTCTCTCTCTCTCTTTCTCCCATTCTCTTTCTCGGTCTCATTCTTTTCTCCCTCTCAAATCTTGTTTACAAGTCTGTCATTTATGTATGTTCTGTTTAGTGTATGTTTTTCTGTGTGATTGTTTGTATGTTTGTGTGTCTGTGTGCGTGTGTGTGTGTACGAGTGCTATATTATACACGAAACATAGTTGTTTGTCGATATCTTGATATACTTGATAGCATTTCATATTAGGGTATTGTATTTAACTGTACCCTCCTTAATGAGGTTGTCCTTTTAAGTATTATGCTGTATTGATTGTGTGTATGCATGTATGCGGTTCTCCAAAAGTAAATGTTCACACATGCAAACATATATATATATATATATATATATATATATATATATATATATATATATATATATATGTACATATATATATATACATATATGAACGTTCACACGTACAAAAAACATACACACACATACACAAACACACATAACCGTTTGTTACTACAATCAGCATTTGTATAATATATTAATATATTATAAAATGCCAAATAAATAATCCACACACACACACACACACACACACACAAATATAAAAACACATCATACACACACATACACAAGTGTACACCGACGAAATACGCAAACACGCACGCACAACGCACGCATAATAGGCGAATAATACACTAATAATTGTTAAGTATATGCGTGATGCTCGATTCAGGCTTTTCATTTCCGTAGACTTCAATCAATCAAAATGATTAGGCACTCACGTACGCAGACACACACGTACACAAACACACACGTACGCAAACACAACGTACACAAACACACACGTACGCAAACACAACGTACACAAACACACACGTACGCAAAAACACACGTACACACGCGAAACCATTCACGTAAATAAAACGCCCACAAATAACACACATTCATCTGTTGTCTTATTAGTCTTCCTTATCATATATATATATATATATATATATATATTATAATATATAATATTATATATAAAATATATAATATTATATATATATATATAAATTATTAATATGTTTCATCGGTATAATTACATTTCACACAAGCCAGTACAGAAACAGATACCGCCATCACCATATACCCACCAGCGAGCGTACGACGCACTGTAACCGCACACGGATATAGAAAGACACCCACACACACATACACACGTACATGTATGTATATATACATATGTTTGTATGCATATAAATGTACATGTATGTATATATACATATGTTTGTATGTATATAAATGTACATGTCTGTATATATACGTTTTTTGTTTTTTTGTTTTTTTTATACGTATATATATATATATACGTATGTATGTATGTATATATATATATATACATATGTACGTGTGTATACACAACACACACGCATATACACATTCAATTTGATCTATATACAGACACATAAACATATATATATATACACACATATATAATTAAATAAACATATATATATACTCATAAATAAACATATATATATGTACTCATAAATAAACATATATATATACACACATATACAATATATATATATATATACGCACATACATACATTCATACATAAACAGGTTATGTTCTGTGATAATACATTAAAAGGCTTTCATTTTACTTGCCTGTCTCACCACGCAATAGAAGATTTACATTATGTTCATAAATATATAACATGCTTTATGAATATGCGAATGTATGAATGTGTATCACACACACGCGCACGCACGCACGCACGTACACACACATAGTCATAGATATTACATAACTTTCTTCTTTGATATCTATCTCTCTATCTATCTCTCTCTCTCTCTCTCTCTCTCTCTCTCTCTCTCTCTCTCTCTCTCTCTCTCTCTCTGTGTGTGTACAATATATAACAGTATACACACATACAAATCTATAAACATACATACACATATATATACACAAACATACATAAACACGACGCACATGCATTCACAGACATTCACACATTCATACATACACAAACATACACATACAGAATATAACAATGTTTAGACCGCTTTAAACTGATGTTCCAACAGCAAAGTTGTTCTATTATGATTTATTATCGTCAGACATTAATTTATTACATACCTATATAAATGTGTGTGCGTGTCTGTGTGCGTGTGTGTACGTGTGTTTGTTGGATTAAGTGTTAGTGTTTTTATTGCATATTTGTTCAAGTATTTTGTTGTCTGTATACTATCTTGTAAGTTGTATTAGATAACTGGGTGGTATTGGAAAAAAATTCGAAAGAAAGAGAGAGAGAGAGAGAG